CAGGATTTAAAAAGAAAGACACCCCACCCCCCCAACCCAAACCCAAAATCTGCTTCTCTATATCTGATGCATCTGAAGAGCTCACCACCCCTCACTGCAGTGAGAAAAAAAATTACACTTGAGGAACAGTCTTTATAAACAGTCATAGCAGTGTTCAGAGAGCTAGCATTACCCATTTTAGAAGTCAAATGATACATAACTTTTTAATATTAATGAAAAAGGTGTTTTAAAAGCAACACTTACAGAAAGCTTCTGTCTTGCAAGGAACCTTTCCTTCTACCAGCATGTAAACGTTGGCTTAAGTTTTGACTGAACTACAATTTAATTAAACCATTATAAAATCTGATTCTCACTTGTAAAACATCTTCCATTACTTCTTATCAATGCACTGCAATAATAAACTGCTTGTTTTTATAAGGTGTTTAGATGCTGTGCAAACGGAGTTACAAATGGCAGAAATGAGGATTTTTGCACCAAGGAACTAGCACAGCCTAGTACAGGCTTGACAGCTATTCCACATTTTCAAACATTTAGTGACTTTATCTTACTCTGAATTAGACTGTTTAGACTCAGACGAATTCCTCTGAAATCTGAGGAAGGGAATTCCATACAAGAAACGGTAAAAATCACCCTTACACATACAACTGAAAACCACACCAAGGAAACCACCTACAGCCATGCTAGAAACATCGTTACTTTCTTAGTCGGTGTTTAAATCGATATTTGCCAAAAAGTACGCTTCTTTAGCCCTATATTCCAATGTCTGTGTTACACAGCAGGTCTGATAAGAGACTAGAACCAATCCAATTAAATCCTACTGCTACTATTTGTTGCGTCATTTGGGATAGTCAAAGAAACAGTGCCAATGAAGTGTAAAATATCAAGGGAAAACTTTTTGTTGTTGCATGTGTTATTGGAATGGGAACTCCAAAGAGCAAACACAACAAACTAAATCAAGATCTGACCTGAAAAAAACTGGAATTGGACCCTTTCTTCTTGGGACAGCAAAGATCTGGAGAGGCAAATTTTAATTTTTTTTTTTTCTTCTGAAGGTAAATAGATCTTAGATAGAATAACAGTCTAAATTAAATTATCAGCAACTGAAAGTTTGCTTTTTTTTTTTAATCATGTGTTCAATTTGCCAGGTGCGGAATTATTAGTAAAACATTGCAACACTGCCAAGCACTATTCTTCAAAGTATTCCTGACTGAATTTCAAAGTCCTGGAGACTTGATTTTTGCAATACATCTCCATGGACAGGGACCTACCTTGCATATTAGCGGGCCTGCAATGACATGACAGGATCAACACCAGAGCTCGCAAATTTGTTCCTATCTGGAACATCAGTAAGCCAGTAATACAAAAAAAGAGAAAGCTTAAAAAAAAAAAAAAAGATCATCAACAACACCAACAAACTACTTTAATTACTTTCTAGAGAGCTTCTAGATCTCACAGGAGACTAATTTGCTTTCTAGTCTACAGTCAGCGAAAATGGTCCTGGCCTTTGAAATCATGCCGGTTTATTTAACATTGCCTTGCTCCCAAAGAAAGACTGCCTGCAATTTTGTACACCCTGTAGCAGTGAGGCAGAGCATGCTAGCCATCAAATTCTAGTTGTTCATTCCACTGACTGGAAAAATGCCTGCCGTTTGATTTCTTTTATAGGGCCACATTTGAGCAAGCAAAGTTTATAGAGCTGACTTACCTAATTAGATTCAAAGAGTGATTTGCTATCTCAGCAATCGTTTTTAAATGTACAAATCTAGACAGAGAGGCATTTTGTAAACAGGTGTGAATGACACTGCTCCATCAAGCATTAAATTGGAGCTGCTCCTGAAAAATAGTATCATTTGTGCATTTAAGTTACCAATATTTTATCAACTGCAGTGTTTTTACACCAAATATTCCTTGTGGTGTACAGCCAATGATATTTCAGCAAGATCTCTCACCCTTTTAATAGCAGCATGAAACAGGCTACTGTGTGCTTCTCATGTCTTTTCTGAAAGGTTGATTTAAAAAGTCTCAAAATTATCTCTGAGGAGTATATCAGCCTTTGAAACAGGGCTACAAACCAGGTAATGCCTGACGGAAAACAGCTGATACTTGCAGGCAGTTTTGTATTTCCAAAGGAACAACAGCTGGGAAAGGAGGAAATTATTTTCTCTTATGACAGTTATTTAATTTTTATATTACAGTTGTACCCAAGGCTTCTGTGCCAGGCAGCGTGTGGATGCACAAGCGCCCAAAGAGCACTCAGGCTTGGTCCTTGCACCAAGATGGCTGCTCCCCTCAGCCTTCACACATGAGGGCCCAAAGGCAACACTCACAGCTGGAGAGAAAGCTTTACTTTTTTACACCTTTTTCCTAACGTTTGGATATGACTTTCATACAGTAGGAGGACATAATGTTACAGTAAGACAAGAAAAGTGCATTCTACCGGGTGACCTTACTTCACCGCGGCTACAACTAAAGACTGAAATACCTGTCACCACACGGGGGAAACAGGAGCCCCCAGCGCCCAGCACAACTGCGGGGGCACGGCGAGCGCCTGCAAGCCCCGTTACCGGCTCTTCGCTGTGTTGTGGACGGTCCGAAGTCCCCCCAGCCGGACGCGAGCCCGCACCGTCCCCACCGCCAAGGGCCGCGGCTGGGGACGCCCCGGCGCCGCCCGCCCTGCCTCTGGCGCTGGCCCGGGCTGGCCAGACAGGGAGCGAAGACCCCCCCTGCCTCCGCACCCGAACCTGCGCTCAGGGGAGTGGGGAGGGCGGGAAGAAGAAAGGCGGGAAACTCCCTCCTCGTTAAACCAAGCAGCACCCACTTCGTTCCTCCTTGCTTCCCGGCCTGGTCTGACACACCGAGCCAGCACGCCCTAGCGCCGGGTCTTCTGAAGGAAACACTCACGCTACCGAGAGCCTGTTTTAAACGTTTAAGAGGGATTCAAAACTATTCGTCCCTTGCTCACTGGCACAGAAAATGTTTAAATGTTTAAGAGGGATTCAAAAGTGTTCGCCCCTCACACACAGGCAGAGAAAGGTGGGGCTCAGGTTTTAGCGTTGCTTAATGGGGGGGGGGGGGGGGGGGGGGGATCAAGAGAATGGTTTTGCTTCTGCTGAGAAACTGAATCATTAAACAAGGGAAGGGCTTCGAGGAAGATAAGGTTTCAGCCACAAGTAGTGAACCCTGGGAGGAAAAAACCAACACAGAAAATGGACGCCGAAGGCTAAATACCTATCAATTGTTCACACAGTTTTCAAATTAAAGGTTTGAAAGAGACCCGTCTTCTTGAAGTAAAACTTCGGTTTTATTTATGTTTTATTAGAAACATTGCACAGAGAGGCAGAATCTTTCACAAGCACTTGTAACCTCGTTTATCTTTGGAAGGTTAGTTTCTCTGGCTAGAGACGCTGTTAGGACCTTTGGCAGAGCCAAGCAGAGCACTGCTGCTGAGAGAAGTGCACGCAGCACCGGAAAGCATGCTACATCAGTGGTCTTGCAGATATAAAGGCAAGTCAAGGTTAGCTAGGCAAGTCAATTTTTTCTATGATTACAGTAAAATGAAGAGCAAAAAAGGCATGTCTCTGGATTTGGGTTTCTTTTCAGCAGTGCCCTCTGGTAATCCCCTTTTGTGTCTTGCTGCAAAGCAAGGGAAGAAAAATACAATATACGTATGAGGAAACAGTCACAAAATATGAAAGTATATGCATTATATTCTAAACCTGTGGGACAGACTATGTTTCGCAGTTGAAGCCTTGTCAGTCTGGAGCAGACTATCTAGACTGAATTTTACTTATGTGTGAATTGAAATTATTCTTGAATCATTCTTGCAATACAAATGCAAGGCCAAGAGGGGAAGAGAAATTTTGGTATGAAAAAGAGTAACACAACAAAGGAAAGCTAAAGGACTCGGCTCTGTTCCTTCTCACCGATCACTGCAAAAATCATACATCAAGTTCACTATTTTGATAATTTGCTGATAATCTAAAATTGACATCTTCAGGAAAAGATTCTGGCTTAAGGTTTTGACTCAACTTCATCTACACAAGGAAGAATGTATCATATGCTGTTGTGAGGGTGGGTAGAAGACTAGTTTTTAAACAGATGCACAAGCTCTTTACCTATGCCCCCAGTTAAATAAAATCTAGCACCTATAGCTCCTGCCCAATCACAGAAAAGGACGAAAATCACTCTAGCTAAAAAGCCTGCTCTTTGGGCACTGAAAGGAAAGGGAGCAGCAATTTAGATGCTCTGTTTTCATTCAGCAATCACAGAGCAATTCTGGTTTTTCTTTTCTTTTGGTCTGAGGATAGGGACAGGTGAACAGAATTTTCCTTCATAACACATGAGCTGATTGCACAAAGCCTACATATACCATCAATTGGCTACCAGGAGTGGTAGCTGTAGACTGTAAAGTTAAAGGTGGGTTTTTCAGTAGTGCATGGGTAATAATGTATTGTTCTCACTGCAGCCTCTAAACACCTCCCATAAATTCTAATGGTACGATTAATCCAATGAAGACTGCTGCAAAGGTCCATACAATTGATGTAAAAAGAAAGCTGAAAAACTTACCTGGATGAAATAATAGAGAGATTTTCCGTATTTCCTCTTGAATTCACTCTTAATTTTCAGCATGTCAACCTCGCAGCGGGAGACCACAATCCTGATCAGAACCTTGTCGCGGGTTCCCTTGCCCTACAAGCAGATACACGTAATAGCTGTAACTGTAATAGCTGAAATGTGTAAAAGGACACTGTACCTAATGCTAAGACAGCAAACTACAGGCAACTGAGATGTAGCAATAAAAGATAAAATGAATTAAATCTTCTAAGGTCATTATTATGATCCAGGAATTTGAGCATAAACATACCTTTCTCATCAGCAGTGTTTGACCAACTTCCAGTCACAAATCTAGCTAGTTAGACTGTAAGCAGCAGTTCTGGTTCACCAGGAGGTCTTCCTGGTATTGCCTAATGCCTGTCACCAGGTATTTCTCTTTCATCCCTTTTCTTGAGAAAAGGTTTTGATGCAAATTTAGTGTCTGCCTTTGGCACTTGAATAAACAGCTTTTTCTGCTATCAACTCTTGATTACCTGCAAAAGATGTGTCTAACTTTGCTAATTATCATCAACTGATCTAATACAGATCATTATTATGAGATCCTTCCCTGTATTTCCCTGTACCAGATGCATCTGAATAGATGGTCTAGACTCATAACTGTTAAAGAATGCTTTTGAACAATACTAATTTATTCACATGCCAGTCACACATCATATGAATAAAATTGCCTAAGGAATCAAAATTCGATGAAACAATGGCAAGAAAAAAAAATGAGTAGAAAGAAAGAACAGTCTTCCCTACCTTCATGGAATCATACAGTCTGTCCGCAAAATACAGTTGCTTGTTCTGAATGCACTGGACTGAAGAGAGAGATAAGAACAGTTAAACATCCTGCCCATACATGGAACAGCAGAACAGAGAAACTTGGAGCCATTTTTAATGACGAGATAAGTAGTCAAAATAAGGTTTTCAGCAAAAGTTTCTCCAAAAGGGGACATAGAAAATTATTTGTACTTGACTTGTTACTTAGAAGTTGTTTGGCTAAGCTTGTGATTGAACCACAAATGCTTACAATCTGAGAAAGCATTTCCCTCCATCACTAGTATAATTTCGGAATGCTAGCCCTCCTCCACACACACCACAATTCATTCTTCCACTTCTATAAGCAATGTGTTTTCTGAAAACACTCATTGTATGCTAATCCATGAGAAGTCTCCCTTTCAAGGCTGCACTCTGTTTATTCTCCATTTGCATTACAGAGCTCTCACTCTGAAATGGGTTTTCCTCTTAAAGAATTTCCTCTTAAACTTGGCAACATCCTTGTCATCTTCATCTCATGCCACAGTACCAGCCTTACACCCTGCCTCCCCATTTCAGAGAATTCAGTGTCAAATCAGCTCTTTTATTGGCCTCTAGCATCCTCCACTGCCTGTCTTCTCCTCTCACACACACACACTGTTCTCTCTCCAGCCTATGTCTATATTGAATACTTAATGTGTTCAGCTATAGTTCCAACCTTTTTCTTTGTTTGGGGAAACAAACATTAAACCTTTGTATCAAACAAAAGTGGAACTAACAAGAGATCACAAAACACATGCATTTTTATTTTCATCTGGAAAGCAAGGTTTATATTTTGCAGAGGGCAAAAAATACGCTACTTCTCAATACCTGGAATATCCTAAAATACACTAGTGGATCCAATAGTGCCAGCACGTCCAGTTTATTTCTCGTCCAGCAACACAGAGAAAGCTGGGCCCTACCCTTATCACTATACACTGCAAGAACACTGAAAAGATGCTATCTAAAGGTAGTCTTTACTTCAGATAACTCACCAAGATTAAGGAAGGCATTCTCCAGATCTCCCTTAACCTCCTTCTTGATGCTCTCCAGCATATCATACGGGCTGTAGCTCTTGTACCTCTCAAACACTATCACAAGAAAGAAAACAGGTGAAATCAAGACTAGACCAAGAACTGGTAAAAGTAACCACCCAAATCAAAACCATAGAGACAGCAGTGCAGAGACACATGATTAAAAAAAATATCTGTCCAAGTCCTTCTGAGAACTTTATCTTAAGTACAGCCTAAGTTTGTCAGCTGATAGTAAAGTTCCCATGTGATAGCCTTTTTGTTTTCCTTGAACACCTCCATAATCTGGTAAAATACCATCTTAATCCTGTACTAGTATTTTTTGAAACAACAGGCCCTGAATTTAGGCGCTGAAAAGAAAAGTCTTCAAATGGCTTTCCCGTGTGCTGCTTATAGCAATATCAGAGCTGCTTTTGACAGTCTTCACTGTCAGATTTAAACACATGATATAGCTAAGCTACCCTGGGACAGAGGGAAAAGCTAAAGGACTTCTCAAGGTCTCCTACAGCCATGTTTCCTAGATTTGTAACATTTTTGTTCTCAGTGTATGTGATATATAATTGAGCATTGTTACACCTGTGTAAAAAAGAGCTCTACACACATTCAAACTGTGAGATTAACACATCCACAGAAATAACTTTTTTTGAAAAAAATTAATAGCTTGGACATGAATTAGGATTTATGAGATCTCCTATGTTTTACGAGTGCTTTTCACACTCATTTCAATCATATCTGGGACAACATAGTTACCACTTCGGTATAATTTTCTCTTATAGGAAAAAAAGAAATCTGTCTCTTGAATACTACCTTTCTGCAGGTGGGGTACGCTTCTTTCAGTCATAATGTTGATCCACTTGGGGACATCAGTTCCCTTTCTCTTCACACCAGCATCATAGAGCTCCTGGTGTTAGAATGAAAAGCAAAATCATACAAATCAGGAATTACACAAGCAGCCATCGCAAACGTACACAATTTCCTTACTGGAAAACAAGCACTACTATCTACAGGTTTTACTCCGTATTTAGCTCTGTTTACCTCAGCAGAAGTGCTCTTGACAGATACGGATGTAATAAGACAGATACAGATGTAATAAATAAGCATTAGCAGCCACTAAGTTCAATGATACTTCTCTCAATCTTACACAATTACTTGGTTGCAACCAGTCTTTGCAATGTATGTGTTTCCTTTTGCTAAAGTCTCTCTTTCTCAAAATGCCCAAGGGAAATACCAGAGAGCTTCTGTATAGGTACTACTGGGTAAGTAGCCCGTGAAAACTGATAACTGAAGGTATCAGGATTGCGAGTGCAGATACCTTGATAGCATGCAAACATGACTGTGCAAGACAATCTGAAATATACACACCTACTTTCATAAACGCTTCTCACTCCCATAGTATTTGTACTTCCAATATCCCCAAAAGCTTGATCAACTTAAGACATTTAATGGTCATTACCAACACTTACCCTAGCATCTTGGTCAATCAGCTCATAATCAATCACAGAGGTATCTTCACACCTTTTGCCCTTCAAACAAGGATAGCAGTATTTTAGAAGAGGTTTAACAGACAGTAAGCAGTTTGCTATATGCATATTCTTTTCTCTTTGATTTTTTTAATCTGAATTTGCTAAATCAGTAACAGTATGCTCCATCCCCATTACGAAGCTGCTGCTAGGAATGTTGCATTTCTGTCAAAATACTTTGCCCTTCAACATTTGAATATTTTTTTCCCTGAAAGACAATGAAAATACAAGGAAATTGAAAAGTGAATCAGAAATCCAATTGTTTTACGGGCAGCCATCAGTCAGTTACCAAAGGGCAGGCACATTAGGAAAAGTGGAAAAATATGAACAGACCTACCTTGGCCAGGGCAACCATTAGCTTGCGGAAGTCACCAGATGTGTCTGATATAATGTCCTTTTCCAGTTCTGTCTTATACACTAGAAAACAAAAAAATCTTTTCAAGTAAACCATATCCTACAAATACTCCTTTACAAGAAGAACAGCTGCTAATTACTGTGTTTTATGCACATAAACAAACAGCTACAATCTAAGTCACATGTGGAAGACAATGAAATCAAATGTATGCTTGCATACGACAAAATCAACATTGCCACCAGCTAGTCCTGAGAGTTCCCATGCAATCAAAGTCTGTCATGGAAAAGTAACAGGAAAGCCTGAGACTATTAAAAGGAAGGGAATACTGTTTTAAGCTCAATATCCTGTTAGATCATTCTTAGCTACCAGCGAATGTTTGTGTGTTTGATAAACATAGCAGTTAGGCCTTCTCCACTTCTGGATTTATGACTGGACAACTGCAATTGCAAGTTTAATGCAAAAGACAAAAGCTGTTATGACAAATCAAAGGAATGCTGTGTGTGATTCTGGTCTGGTGTCTAAACATTTTCATTGCTTTCCAAGTGGTCATTCTCTTTTCAGCAGCAACCTAATCTACAGCAGCAACAGTCTCTTTGCTAATACATATTATTTTTTTTGATACCGGCCATTGAGACTACATTGGTTTTGCTTGTCCTTTTTGACTTAGCCAGCACCTTACCAGAACTGCTTGACGACTATTAAGCACACAGCAATTTTCTACATTTCAGTCTATTTGTGGTGAAGCTCAACTCTGAAGCTCAGGGAAACAAACAGGCACTGGGCAGCTGCACTACTGAACTGCAATAAGCCCAACCAGAAAGGCCAATATCTACGTACAATCAACTAAGAATTATAGCTTCAATCAGATAACATGCCTTTTCTGGCGGGTCTACCAAATAAACTTACAAGCATGCTTCAGCAGATTTCAGATTCACCTACTTATTACATAAGACACAACTTACATGAGTAGTAAATGTTCTCCAATTTGTTTGCTACCAAGCAACCAGATGAAACTATATAAACACACACTAATATCCAGGACACCAGTACAAAATAGTATCTTATGTCCAACTGCCAGAGAATCAAAGCAGATGTTGTGTAAGCGACTCTAATAATCAAATTCACTCTGAGGGGAACTTATCCAAGTAACGTAGTGTAAAAACATAGTACATTGAAACCTTCAAAGTAAACTTACTTTCCCTGTAGACTCTGTTAATTTCACTAAGCTCCTGATTTGTTCGTGAGCAGATGATTTCAATGAGTGTGTCTTCATCAGTTCCCAGACCCTGCAACACATATATGATTCAGTTAGGTGCTAGAAATGAACAGGCATGCTTGAATGGTTTAAAAATATTTTACAGACATCTTCTTTCTCCCACTCTAACAGTTTCACAACTATTCAGGGATATTTTTTGCTAGCTGTGCCTGAGAAACCCCAGACGGAACATTTTTAGTTGCCAAATACTTCTCCAATAGCTTTGAGATCCTGTAGATATTATCTCTGGGCAATGTGCATTTGCTGTGAGCGTCTGTAACACTCAGTGGCCTCCCCACCAGCATAATTGGATGAGATGAACTTATCCTGGCCCATGTGTGACTGTTTTATGTCCATTGAGAGCACAAATGGCACTTAGCATGCAAATGGGCAGCAATCGCCTGGTTCTTCCCTGCTTTTCTTCCCCACCTCCCTCCACACAACTCCTCCACTATAAATGCAAAGCCAAGGATAGCCCCTCTTTAACTGTCCATATTTTCCATGTACTTCACACTGCACAAATACAGATGAAACAGTATTACTATTAGCTATATTAATATTAAGAAATAAAAATGTATTTAGTATGATAAACTAAATATTAAGATTTTATATTTTTTTGACCAAGCTGAATGAATTGAGGTCTCATAATATTTCAAAGCCACTTTTGTGATCAAGGTCAATGAAGAATCAGTACTTTAAACTAAGCTGCATCACTACTGTTTAAAAAGTAATATAGGTATTAGCACTATGACAAAATTACAAACTACATCAAAATGTATCAGCTACCAATTAAACCTTATAGTAACTCAGATACCCCAAAATAATATATCTTGATCAATATGCTCTAAACCTTGTTCAATCATTTTATATAGATAAACAGCCAAATTAAAAAAAAAATAAAATTGCTAACAACACTGCAATATTCTTGCTCCTGGAGAAAGACAGGAAACTCTGAAGGACAGGCTCAGAACAGAAGACGAACTTGGATGAGCTGAAAATGCTTCTTTCTCCAGTGACCACTAAGGATGTCTCGGTTACTAGTTGGTAAAGCCATCTGGCAGCCAGATGCCTCAATATTTTGAAAATAAACTTTAAAAAAAAAAATAGACTCCACTGGTGATTTTTTCCATTCTGTTTTGTTTCTTACCTACCAATGAACCATGTTCGTGCTAATCTCATTGCCCTCATCTTCCAGCATCGCCAGCAGACAGAGAAAAACACTGTTATGCCTCCTGTTAGGATGCTGTTTGTTAAGCCCATCTGTAACACAATGTCATTTTGTATGTGGCAAAAATGGGCATGGTTTCCACAGGACTCCAACAGGAGTCTGCTGGGTAACATCTTGGGAAAAGTTCTCATGCTGCAGTCTCACATGTTGAAAATGGAGGTAATTATGTGGAAAACTACCCTCTTGGAAAAAGTGTCTCTACTGAAGGAAAAAACAGAGAGAGGACTAAACCCAAACAATTTTATAAAAATGGCTCACAGCTAAGATAATTAGAAAAGCTTTCCACAGAGTGGTTCTATTAGGTATCTGGGGAAAAATGAAAGCTAATAAAATTTAAGATTTTTTAAATATTACATAAGAATGTGTACCAGAAAAATAATTAACTCCTCAATGATAAGTTTGCTTTACCCAACTTTGATTCCCATGTCATAGCTTATTATGCTCTATGTACCAAGTCAGATTTAAGCTCAGGCAAATTCAGAACATTAGACTAGGTACTTGGGAGCTGGGAATAGCTGACCTATGGAGAGAATAGAATATTCCACATTTGTGGCTACTCTGAGGTAATGGCTTGGTCTTTGGGCTGTAAATACAGCATAAACGCTATATAAGTATATGGTCATCCTAAATATGACATATCAGATGTAAGACATCAAAAAAACCAAAACCAACAAAACCACCAAACGAATCTGATTCACAGTAAATTATGGATAGCCTCTACTTAAACCAGAAGAGGGCAGCATCTAATTACTCAAAGAAGGGATTTGGCCCATAATTAAAGAGTTACCATCTCCATACTGGGTTGGTTTTTTGGGGTTGGGGGTTTGAGTTTTTTTTTTTTTTTGGGGGGGGGGGGTGGTGGTGGAGCAGCTAACAGCTGCTCTCTTAATGTTTTTTTGTACTATTAACCTATATATTGTTTTTAAGAGCAGTCAGCAAAGCAGCAACCAGCCAGAGCAGCCTATCAGTTATTCCTGACCTGATGAAAATGATTTTTTTCCTTAAAGAGAGGATTTAATTAACAGTTTAAAAATCACATGGTTCCAGAATTTCTCTCATTTTGGATGCCTTGCAGCTGGACACTTAAACTGTAGTACTTAAAAAAAAAAATCATCAGTGGACATGTTTGAAAACTGTGGCCTTGGATATCAAGTCCATACTCATTCTTCAGACAGCGACATCAGACTAACATACTTAAATTTCAAAGCTCATTTACCTTCATGGCAGCTTTCAGTTCAGAGGCATCATACTGTGCTGGTGTCTTCAGCAAGCCCAAGATCACTGCCTCCAAATGACCTGACAGAGCAGACTTGAGTGCTGCAGAAAGTTCCTGTAAAAAAGGAGGGATGATGGAAGAAAAAAATTAAAGCTCACTTCTGATCTCCAGAGAATTTAGCCTGTAGTGCTTTAAGTCTCCAAGCCTGCAACAGTGTTTCTTACACAATTGACAAGGAAACAGAACATAAAGAGCTTTTCTTTTGTGAAAGCCTAAGAAAGAAATTAGGGCAAAGGAATTTTTTCTCATCCTTTGAAAATAAGAAGAAATCCACTGGTGGCTGACAAAGTGCTGGGAAGCATGGTGCAGACACATCTGAACAGCTCCGCTCCAGTCTTGAAGCACTGACACTTTGTTGGGGCTAATAAGCACAGATGGATCTGAGTTTGACTCCCTGCAGTCAGTGCTTCTCCATCATACTCCCCTACTTTTCCCAGTAGCCCTGTATCATTTGTGTTTTTCCTGTTATCCCAGCCCTTTACTAGCTGAGACATCGGAAAATTGACTGCACAGTTATTCCACTGTACAGGCCCAGTTCCCAAACAGCGAGCTAAGGAGAAAAAATCGTCCCTGAGCACAGAAATATTATCCCTGTCTTCAAGGAAACTATCAGAAGAGTGTAACAAAAGTCTCTATTGTTAATTGTCAGACAATCCTAGAGAAAGAAACAGTCAGATATGTTCACTTCACAGGATGCATGCAAATCTGTAGCAAATAAAGTCAGAGGTGTGTCCTCTTTTATGGGTTTCAGATGCAACTTGAATAATGCTAATTATCAGCTTCATTGTAGTATAGTTACAAAGTTGAAATCCCTGGGATCAAGTCTGAGGTTCACACAGATCAATGTATTCCCTAAGCTGAAGTTAAGTCTGTAGCATTCCTAAGAGAATTGCTGCATTTCAATTGCTGGTTTCTACACTAACAATTTGTAGGCAGAGGAAACTTGAGGGGCAGGGGAAAAGGGGGTAGAGAAAGTGACCTCAGCAAAATTGCAGAGAAGTTTGTACCAGAGAGAAAAAGAGCCAAGGCACTCGGTTCATTTCCAGAGTCACCCATTTAATGCAAGGCACTAGTATATGCTAATACTGTATGCACTCACTGCATGGATTGACCAAGACAGTGAATGGGGGTTTTGGGCATCTAGCTGCTTTAGTCTAAGAAACATTTTAGTACAATAATTCAATTTTGGATACAGTGTTCCATCATTTATTTGTGTGAAAACAGGTTCTTCAGACATCAGCTGAAACAGGAAAGATACTCTATATCTCTATAATAAGTTTTAAGACAATCCCATGAATTCCAGTTAGTTGAGTGAAGTTTTTGCAATCTTTGCACTTTGGTGTGAAGGCTGAAGAAAATACAAATCACTACAGCAGGATTTACCAAAATAACTGCAACAAAACACCTCAAACTGAACCAAGCACTTGCCCTCCTATTAGCAGGCTTCTGGAGAAATAAGGTCTTCTCCCCCTGCCAGGAAAGCAGAGTCTCCACTCCGCCATTCTTTGCCACGGCTAGGAGTGCTCTAAGAGAGAAGTGGGAAGCAGATAACTGACAGGTATCATTAATTTCTAAATAGCAAAGAGAAAAGGTTTTACTAAGTATTCCAAATGAGCATCTGGATATTAGCAGTTCATTTCAAAATTAAAGATTATTGGCAGCAGTTAGGACTGACCAGACACATACGAAGACACACATGCAGAACCCCCAGTATTCACTGGTAGCTCCATTAATGCTGGTGATGGGGAAAGATTGCATAGATCAAACACCGTTCCTCAAGATTACCAAAAGTAACTAGGCACAGCTCAAGTTAAAGAAATGAAAATAGAGGTACATCTGTGACTTTTTAAAATTATAATGATCTATTGAGAAATCCTGCAACACGCAAAACAAGCAGCCTAGGACAACACAACACATTGCCAAAGAAGTCTGCACAACCCATTGCCAAAGAAAATCATGAGGTACTGTCCCTAGAAGATATACCTACATGTCTTTTCATATCCCACTTCCTCCTCTCTTGCCATTCACTTGTTTATTTCACTGAGTGGTTTCTACTGCAAATTTCCATTGTTTCTACAGACTGCTTTGTTCTTTGGCACTTGTTAAACTTTGTAAGTTCAGTTTGCTCTTGGGTCACAGCAAGGAAAAAAGGTGACAGAGAAACAGATGAAAAAAGTTGCAGATTTTCTTGACTGTGCATTTTTGTGGTCATGCAAATCATTTAACAAAAAGCTTTAAGTGACACATTTCACTACTAGGGTCCACTTATGTGCACGATTCTCCCAGTGCCCACAGGGCGTGACTGCCAGGGTGCAGACGTGTGCACACAGACATGCATCCAACTTGTGCGTGCTTCTGCATATGCCTCTATCAGCCATGCATAAAAGGTGGTGAATTTCCAAAATTTAACTCTAGATTTACGTTTGGTTTCAGATGAGCATTCTGGGCTGCTATTGGAGGACTACCATTTGGGGTCTGGCAAACCTGAAAGAGATACATTCATCATAATCCTAACTCTATATGAGTTTCCTCTTTTTCTGTGGGCAGAAAAATTCAATTATCATTAAGATTCTCAAAACTTCAAAAGTCAAGAGAACAGCTCTTGCCTTCCAGATAGCAAGACTTCTGCAAGAAGAAGATGCAGAATTCTGCACGTTTTACAGATTTCTCTCCATCAATAGATCAGTACCTAAGGTATTTCTGACAGGATAATATCTAGTGATAGTTCAACTCATTCTATCACTTTGTTCCACATCTGCAACGTTTGTAGCACAACTGACTGCAGTCTTTTCTCATGTAAGCTAGCTCTGTGAACAGAAACAGAATACTTTCCTTATCCTGAGTTGTCTTAACCAAAAAATCAATCCCCTAAAGCATCTGCCTTTCATCTTTTCCTTCAAACTGAGGCTTTTCACTATTCCTTAGCATATTTCACCAGGGAATCCTGTGGCTGGCTGATATGTTTGATATCATGATTTCTGGAGGTGCAGGAAACCACTGTCTCCCACAAATTTCAGTCCCAGTTGTGCATACTCAACAAATTTGGAAGTCCCACCAGTCCTAAACTGTGACAGCATGGACAAAGTAGACACATCTTTAATTTCAGTGAAAAGATAAACCAAATAATATTTCTCTCCAGTTTGCACCCAGTTAACTGTGAAACACGCAAGAAAATCTTGCAGATTTTTGCACAACAGAAATCTAACTGTCCACAAGAAAAATACTCAATACTTGGTATTTCTTCATATTTTGCTACCTTTTTGGTTCTCCTCTGATAGGCAAAAGCAATATCCTGCCTCTGTTCATTGCTCCGGTTTGTCAGGATGTTGATGATGGTGACCTCATCCACACCTACAAAGACATAAGACAAAGAGTTAAAGAAGCTTTCTTGTTACTGTTCTCTTTGTATTAACATGTTCTCTGATACTCAAAACATAGCATAGGTGCTGTCTGGAGCAGAGCTCAACAGCTCTCCTTAGTTAGTACATGTCACGTCCTGGCCTTGGAGAAGGGGTAACCAATTACAGCCCAAATTTTTGATGCGATGCAGATCTTCATGTACCCAGGCATGTATACACCTCAACAAAGTCTAGTGTGCGACCAACTTTGCTACTTCTGCTTTCTGCTTCACTTGTGCGTCTGCATACTTGTGTTCAGTCACTCAGTATTCTGCAAAAAGTTGCTCAAGAGCACAGGCTTTAAAACTGACATGAACTTGTACTTACTAAAGCCTGCCCTGTCATTTTGGTAAAGTGTTTTCAATTAAGGCTTCTTAATAGAGCAGCTATTTTCTATTTAACCCGTAGTCACGTAACTATCACTCCAAACATAAAAACGGGAAAATAAAACAGTATATTTCATTCTCCCAGCGGCTCAGAAGACAGAAGGGGTTTTTGACACTGGAAGAACTATGTATGTGCTTTTTTTTTTTTTTTTTAAATCATCACTCGAAGATCCATGATGAGTTTTAACTAGCACGCCTAGAGGACTTGGATGGTCAAACTCCCAACCTATCTTTTAAGTGAGTGAACTACATATCAGTAAATGTTGTGTTTTAAGTGAAGTTTTCCAAATCCATTCACTTAAATGCAACTGCAGGCTGAATGCAAGGAGATCATTAAGATTTATTATAAGTTAAAAGCCAAAGCATGCATCTAGGGTTAGATACTCTGGCTGTCGTTAGAACCCAATGCACACCACAGCTTTAGATCCTGTAGGGGTCATCAGTGCAGGTCAATGCATACAGAGAAAAAGCTTTTTTGTTGTACAGGAAGCAGGATTTCCAGATGCTGCTTCCTAAATACAGCTACTTGCTACTCTATGTTCCTTCCAATGCAGGCAGCATCTTGGGACTTTTCCACTTGCTCCTGCCTACTGCTATTAACTTGCACTTCAGATTCCCTCTTGTTTTCGTCACTTCACTCGCTGCTTTCAAACTAGATTCTCCTGAACTTGCATTCTTTGGACTGGCATTGTTCTTCCTCTGATCACAATTCTTATCTACAGCTTGATCTTGGCAACTCAGAAGATATCCCAAAGCCTGGTTGGACTGGAGGGTCCTGAGCTTCTTGAGATGAACCTGGAGCATCTGACTTATCTCTGTATCGTGTGATAGGGCTCTAACCTAATGGACGTACAATTACCATGCCCTGCAAACATCCATGTCTCTCAAAGCGCTCTCTGCAAGGACAGCTACCCTTTTGTCCTGGTTTCAGCTGGGATAGAGTTAATTTTCTTCTTAGTAGCTGGTAGAGCGCTGTGTTTTGGATTTAGTGAGAATAGCGTTGATAACACACCGGTGTTTTAGTTATTGCTAAGTAGGGCTTATACCAGTCAAGGACTTTTCAGCTTCCCATTCTCTGCCCAGCGCACAAGAAGCCGGGCGGGAGCACACCCAGGACAGCTGACCCAGACTGACCAAAGGGCTATTCCATACCCTATGACATCATGCTCAGCATATAAAGCTGGGGGAAGAAGAAGGAAGGGGGGGACGTTCAGAGTGATGGCGTTTGTCTTCCCAAGTAACCGTTACATGACGGAGAAGTAACCGTTACACGTGACGGAGCCCTGCTTTCCTGGAGATGGCTGCACACCTGTCTGCTGATGGGAAGTAGTGAATGAATTCCTTGCTTTGCTTTGCTTGTGCACGCGGCTTTTGCTTTACCTATTAAACCGTCTTTATCTCAACCCATCAGTTTTCTCCCTTTCACCCTTCCGATTCTCTCCCCCATCCCACCAGGGGGGAGTGAGTGAGCGGCTGTGTGGTGCATAGTTGCTGGCTGGGGTTAAACCACACCACCTTTGTTTACTCACATCAACAGAAAAAAAAGCCAAACAAACTGTATTTATATTCCCTTAACTAAGCATTAAAGTTATATTAAAATACTTTCTCTTACTATGATACCTTATAGAAACCGCCCTTGCAAGAAGCCAGTCTCCATTACTCAAAGGAAAATGTTTAGAAATGCAAGCCCCCCTGCCACAAGGTAAAACAAAAGAATTGTTAGCAACAGATACAGAGCAGCTGGGGAGGGGGGGCAAAGAGTTGGAGTAACAAATAAGAAACAGTGTGGCACACTTTAACAATTAATGTATCTGAACAGAATTTAAAAGGTCAGCCCGGGTGTACTTAATCAAATGGTAGGTGGTTGAAATTTCCAAAGGCCTGGGTGAGGATACAGTAGCTTGCGCAAGTAAAATCTCAATTTGAATTTAATTTTCTTACCCTGTTTAAAATAGCAAACCCAACTACATTTCTGTAGGACAATTATAATCTTTTTCTTAGAGTGCTTTATAAAAAGATACAAGTAAAAGAATTTGAGTCCCCTTCCCCAATTCTCCAATGCACATTTGTGTCTATATCACCGAATTCAGCCCCTAGGTAAAATGTCCTTTTGTATTTCAAGTACATTATTGGTTAACCAAAGCTGTCTGGACATGCCATTCAAGTGCAGGTGGAGAATAACAGCACAGCTGGAAGTAATGTCCAGATAATAGTCTTCCAAACAGAAGAGTTAGCATAGCTTATAAATGGATGGACAGAGGAGACAGCTGGAACAGCTCTCATTGTTATGCTCAAATATGAAGCTAACCTATAGCTATGCTGTGTCACCATTTGTTTTGGACTATTTCTAGACTGACCAGATGAAGCTTAGAAGAGGCAAAACTATTTCTAAATATTGCACATCTAATACAGTGCCTACACATTATCTTTCTGTTGCAAAAGAATAACTAGCTATTTTTTCTGGTGAGTTGCATGCCAGGTTTTGAAGCAAGTAGGTGGCTCTAATCTAGAGGTCAGAACAAGCCCAGAGTGTCAACTCAGGTCTCTCCATTTACTACAAGTGTTATGAATAGCTTCCTTCACATTTGCACACACATTGGGGTAAATGATGATTTTTTTGATAAAAGCAGAAAGTAAGGACTGGATCAGCAGCTACTAGCGGGACTCAGATCCCTGCCAGAATCCATCTACGTTTATTTTCCTTATTACTCAAAGCAACCTCACAGCAACTTGAAACAAAGGACTTCAACAGATATTATAAAATTAATCATATAAAGTACGAATGTGGCAAAAGACTTTTAGCCCCTAGCTACAGAATCTAAAATGAGTCAAATCCAAAACTCCTTTCTCCCTCTTCACCACATTTTTCATGACGAAGTACTGTACTTGATAGCCTCATGTCCTTAGCTCATGCTGAGGCAGACCTACATCAGTGCTCTTATTCACACAAGCTTGGCCTGCAAATGTCAAAAGGCCCTGGAAAGCATCCTATGTCTTAGTTACAAATTTTGGTTTGAAAACACGCTGACTGCACATTTCAGCCATAATCTACTCCTGCACATTTTAAAGTGTTCCCATTTTATAAAAGAAAACAAATTCTCCCAGTCCAGAAACGGCCACACACAGACAGACACACAGACATTGGGCCTTTCAGCTGTTGCAGGGCCACAGCATAAGCCAATGTCTTAAGCTTTCTAATACATTCTAAATTTGAACCATTCTTGGCATTCAAAAATGGCAAATGACATTTTCAAGTTTTATCACAATTGTGATAAATTAGAAGCCCACAAATGACTGCATCCGAGTTCCTTATTCGTATGCGTTGTGGATAGAAATATGAAGTTAACTCATTGCTCTGGCATTTAACGGAAAATAAGTGCTTGTACTTCACACTTGGGAATCGCGCTGCATGGACAGGATGCTGACTCATATCTGCTGAGGTGGGGTGGAGCAGGAGAGCAGCTCAAACGCTTTTCTTTGCTGTTCACTAAAAGCTCTGGAAGTTTCAGGGTAATGAAACAAAAGTTTATTTCCAAATTTATTCTGGCTGAGCAGATTTTATCAGTGCATTTCTATCAATGGGCAACTGAAAATTAGACATTGTGGTTCACAATTTTTGTTTTAATAAGAAAAATCCTTGCAGGTGGAAATGTATTTGATGGGGGGGGGGGAGGAGTAGATCTTACACACCCCCACCCCACCCCTGATTAATAACTTTTCTTCTAAAAGAGGCAATCTGTTGCACTGGTAAGATTGCAGTGCTATGGCTCAATCAGCAAAAAAAGAGGAAATTAATATAACCAAAATGATCAGTTAGAGTTTTTAAGTTTTTGGCCTAAAAGACACTGTACTTGAATTTCCATGGGCCAAAACAACCACACCAGCATTGTTCTGAACAAAATGGATGATATGGGCAGTCGCTTAACTTTCTAGGATGAGGTGAGAACAGAGCTAGCATACTTTCATTTTGCAAGAGCTGGTATACATTCATTCAGATCATTTACTGAAAGTCTGTTGTCTTAAATTTCATTTTCAAAGACAGCATGGACAGAATACCAGAAGCTATTTCTGTCCTAACAGCATCTGGGTACTACAGAGATCATCAGTCTACATGAATGAATGAAATGGGATTGCAGCTGGCCTGAAATTATTAGTGGGAGATGTACGTGATTAGCCCTTGTGAGACCTCAACACCATTTGTGTATCTGGTACCAACACAGTCCTAGGACTATTTGACTGAGCTCATGATCTGCAGCATCTTATTTTCCTTGGATAAAACCCTGATCCCACTGGAGTGAAAGGGAAAAATTTAGATAAAATAAGACCATAATTTCAGCTCTGCTATTTTGTGTAGCAAGATTTCACCAAAGCCAAACCATGTTGCAATGAGATATTTCTTTACCGATACTATTAATATTCTGAATATGTGACTGATGCAGTTTGGTGGATTTCAGGCACTATCGTCCCCCACCGGCATGCCAGCAGATTTCCTCTAAACATTTACTTCATAACATTAAAAACTCTGTTAAAAGGTATGGGCATGTTGGATATACTATATGAACAGTGAATTCAATCTCACAGAAGACCCCTGTTATGGTTTATACCTCATCATTTTACCAGTTTCTGCGCATGATGACTTTATTATAGATGTATGCTCTAAGCACTTTCCTACAACAAATCGGTGTTTGAATTCTGCCAGCCATGGAATAAAAAAAGCGTACCATGAGACCTCAATAAAAGGTTGTGGTTTAGGTTGCAAGTAATTAACTATTCATAACCTAGTCTGACAATAAAATTATTTAACACAGTATTCGAGACACAAAGCCACAATGCTAAGGAATAACTCCAAAACAGAAAATAGACACTTCAGCAGTCTTCTTTCCTACAACGAATTAAAAGGAAACTTAACGTATGCTCTGTTAGTACTCTGCTAGTTAGTTACTTTCCTCTATTTAGGCTCATATACTTGAGCTAATGTATGCACAGGGCACAATGGAGCGTTATACAGAAATTAAACAGTCTCTTGTCCTATACAGCAAAAAGCCAACATTTACAAAGGACATGCTAAGGCACTAGATGAACTCGCTACAGAAAAACTAAATAGCATAAAAATGAAACTGGCATAGCAATGACATTTATTACAAAAGGAACAAGCCAGAACTGTAACAAGTTATTTGCATTACGCAAACTCTAGGTTGAACTATTGCTAGCTACAAACTGGTTTTATATCATCTAGAGCCATTTTTGCACATCTCCCTTTCTAGGCTGTTGGATATAGATAAAACCCCTGCATTTAATTCAACTCCACGCAAAGCCCAGCCAAGGGCTGGGCAACGTATTTGTGCAGTATAGTTTTTGCAGATAGATGTAAGCCTCAATAAACATATCACAGTATTTCCCACAGATCCCACAATAGATAAATAGCTGGCTAACCTCTGAGGAATTAATCTGAAGAGTGTGAATGAATGCTGGAACATTTAAATACTATACAGAGCAGAACAGTCAGACACTCTACCCCAGATCTTTGCCCTAAAAGAAGTATACGGCTGTTGTTCAGCCAATTTTACAATAAGTTTTACCCATTTTACACACAATCACCAAAATGGAGATTCAAGACTCTGAGTCAGGGAGCTTGCATTACTGGGAAACAGCTGGATAATTAATTGGATGGTAACTCTTCAAAACTGGCCCACCCTGACCGCAAATACCGTACTTGCATATTGTTTATATAAAAACGCAGAAGGTATCCCCAAATGATTTTTCCCAGAGATAAGACTCCACGGGATATAATTTCCATAGTACTGCTATAAAGGATACAATTTGAAAGACTACTTTGATGATTGTGAAATACAGGCCCATTATAGCATGTTAAGACCTAGATTTTCAAAACAAAGAAGAGGCATGTGTTTCAGGTACCACAAGTCCTTTATCCTGCATAGACTAGCCAAAACGCTTGGTTCTTGTATCCATGGGTTTTTTTGAAACTGACCACCTCAACCACAAAAAGAGCTTGCTTATGTATTTATAACCTGTTATATCTCTCTCGCTGTCTTAAAACAAGATGAACAGGTTATATCACTCTTCACAATCCTATGATGACTTACATTGCTTATTTCTACCTTCCACATACAATGCAAACTAATTGCTAGAGAATCGGTGATACTTCCTAGGCAAAAGGTAGCTGCTGCAGGTATGTAGTTTGTTCATTATGAGTGTTACATTTTAGCTCAAAAACTATGAAGATATTTCCCAGAAACATTTTAAAATGTTTTCTTGCAGAAGAATTTCCCTGTGTAGCTGTTTACATCACTGTTTGTAGAAAATCAATTCTTGTCTGGATGATTCAGAATTTTCATTTGGAAAAAAGCCCACATATATTTTAGAGAGTTCACATTTTAGCAAATTTGCTGAATTAGCAGATAAAAATATCCTGTAACCAAGCACCAAAGTGCAAGGAAACAGTACCTGGAAGAAGGGTTCTAACACTCTTGTTCTTCATTTCCCCCAGGAATACTTCCTTTGAGAGAGTCTTTATGGTGGAAGATTAAAACCTTTAAAGCCACCTTCCCCAAAAAGCTCCTGGATAACAAGCTAATAAGCAGAGAGAACCTCAATCCTACAAACATGCAGGTCCATGAATAAGTTTCCCTATTATTTGTTCAAAGGGTTGGGAATCGTCTCTCTAATGAAATGTTTCCATGTATCTTAAAACCAAACTCAAACTGTTTATCTTTGCTGGAAGAAAGTGAAAAAACGACATGAGCTTGACTTTCCTGACTGGAAAAGCTTTTGGACTATCTAGTATATTGCAATTCCCTTTCGCATTAATTAACAGCTTGAGTGTTAAAATGTGTAAATTTGAACCTATCCTGAAAGTCTGACGATATGTTTGACATGTTTAGATTTGCCCTATAATCAGAGCTGTTAAAAATTATTAAGGCTAGACAAAACTCTACATACACACAAAGCATCTTCTGCCAAACACGATGACACTTACTCCTCTCTTGCAAGGATTTTAAAAATAAGAACAAACCATAAAATGATTCAAAATCAGAAATGAATCTACTTTAACTGGAGAAATCCCTTGTCTGCTCATTAAATTAAGAAATCTTGAAAGGAAGCTTCATGCTTGTTAGGGAGGGGCAATACTTTACATGTTATAGCAAGTCAAACGTGTGCTTTGTTGGCACTGATGGAAGACTCTGCACTTCTTTCTGATGAGAAACTGTTTGGCTTTTAAATCTCTCCCTCTCCTGACATGTAGACAAAAGACTTGGCAGTTCCAGCTACACCCAGCTGTTGCTCCCCTGGCCTGGAGAAGTCTGGAAAGTGTGGCACACCCTTTCTTTGTTACAGAGCAGGACAAGGACAGAGGATCACTGCCCTGGGAGTATCACCAAGGTATTACTTCAGAGTTGTAGTTCACACTCCCTATACTCCTGATTGTTTCAGTACACCAGGCTTTTCCATGCAGCTGCATCTCTCCCCTGCTCCATCATGGTCTCCTACCAGTCAGTGGAAGTGGTGGATCCTGGCACTGCTATAAGGAGATGGAAGCCTACCTGAAAGCCTGGCTCAGAGCAGCAGAGGACTCTCACATTGCCCTGTGCCTGAAATACTGCAACATCATTTCAGAAACCAGATTTTGTTGTTTCTAGGACTTTCTTTGACCCCAAGTTATATACAAGATACATGAGCATTTAGTTCAAAACCCAGGAGAAAAATGTTTAAACCATCCCTATTCAGCTGCCTGGAGAGCTGAAAGGAAGAAGAAATGTCCAATCCAACAATCCAGTAGAAATCCATGATTCAGAGCTTGGTCCCAAATCACTGCCACAGAAGTTGACACTTCATTCGTAGTGGCAGAAAAGTAGAATTTGAAGTACTGGTAAGTCAAGAGAAAAAATGAACATTTTCAGTGATAACCTCAACAGCTCTTGGCTACAAACTTCAAAAGCATATTCAAAGCATGCATTTACAGAGTTCAAAATCTAACTTGGTCCAGATTTCATCAGTGAGGTCTGAGAAAGCCAACACCTCCTAAAATAGGTATCCTAGAGTAAGGATATTACAACGTCGGTCTTGAGACACAGTACCTCTTTTTTTTTTTTTTTTTTTTCCCCCCCTTTCTCACCAGCATTCTATCTTCCAAGTAGAATCAAAGCCACAGCCCATGTTCCTCACCTTTGGTCTTGATGGCTGTTTCCAGGGTTGCAGCATCCCGGTCAGCATCAAAATTTGAATAGGCCTTAACCGTGGCGTACGCACTTGGTGGGAGAGAATGCTAGAAGAAAAATAAGAAAAACAACCTCAAAGTTAAATCATGTAATCCTGTCCTTGCTGCAGTTAATAAAACATGTACCTCTTGGTTAACTGGTATTCAGCCAAATTTTTAAATACAAGAACTACCATCAGGTATCTGTGAAAATGGAATTCTGCTAAAAGCCACCAAACTCTGTTCTCCTGATGTGTATTGGCCAGAAATCCACTCACGGCCATGCTTATTATAACAAAGAATATATACAGATAGATATTATATATTATTGCAGCAAAAACCTAACACATTCCAAGTTTACTCACTAAACCTCAATCTTCTAAAACCTGGAGTTTTCTGGCTAGATCTGAAGGAAATTGACTACAGAAAGCTAATACAAAGAAAGTTTAAGTATCTGACGTGAAAGTCTGAAGTATTTTAGATTTGAAGCCAAGAGATAGAAGATTAACAATGAGTAAGTCAGAAAAAGGTTTGCGCCCTATCTCATACACTTGAAAGGTAACACCAAAAAAAATCTTTTTAAGCTTATCACTCTAGAAAGCAGCAGTTACTCACAATCTCCTTTTGAAACTCTATGCCTGCAGATACTCGGTTTAAGCAGCACAAGGCTAACAAAACCAAATGACGTTTCAAATTACCTCTGCTAAGAATAAGAGGACTTGCAGGTAAGTTCACTTAGTAAACAGCTGCAACATTTTAGAAGCTACCAGATTTTATCAGCTGTTTATTATTGTCCTCTCCCGAGGATTACAGCTTCAAACAGGAAGTCACCAGAACAGAGATCCAACTCTTCTCAGCCGCTTCAGCGTAAGCTAACGGTTTAGCTTGTATCACCCCCCATGGACAGGTTAAACTAAACCACGGATTTTCATATAAATAGCTGAGAAATATTCACAAATCCCACTCTGCTGAGTTCAATTTAGAGACCTAAACCTCTGACAGAAAGGTGTAGTGACTAACGCCTGAAATTGCCATAGCTGTTTCCTAAGTGAATGAATGACTAAGCTTTCTTGGTAAAGATTCCCAGAAACTTTTGTTTCAGTCCGTAACTCCAACAGAAAGCCAGGTTCATAAACAGGACTAAGCTATCTTAATATCCCTGGAGGATCTTTTTACATGCAAATTGTTAAAAGGAGAAGAAATTTTAACTAAAAAATTCCATGGTTTTTGACTACATTTTTCTCTATCCTGTAGAGGTCACACTGGCCTGAACAGATTCCTCTGGCAGCAACCACTGTGCCTTCTTGAGACAGTCTGTGTTATGCTGTGGAGATGGGAAGTCAAAAAAGCACCAGTAAGCTCAACCATTCTTTCTTTTGTCTCTTACCATCAGCTCAACCTAGCAAAGTGGCCCCAGTTTGGCCCACAGCCACACCACAAAACACAGCCTTTCCTGTTAGCAGATCAAATTGCTAACAAGAACAGTAAATGGACATGTGCAATGCAGCCTCAGAGAAATTTGTGTGCCTGAAAGACTCCTAAACCAAAGCCCATTAGTATACACAATCATGTGGCACTTCTATTTAATTAACCAGCACTGCTGGATAATCTGAAGAAAGTCACCTGGTGAGCTTAGCAGAGTTGGGTACCTCTCCTTCCACCCAGCTCTAAGTATTTTCTGAGTCATTTGGACAGAGTATTTTACTGTAAGGTGATATCATACACTGAGAAAATACATAGCATATTTGCAATTTGGGAGCCATCTTTTCCTCTGTCCTTCCACCCAATGCATGTAACAAGCTGGATTCAGATCCCCTGACACCGGTCAAAAGACCCAGGAAGCGCCATGTATGTATGTATGTATGTATGTATGTATGTATGTATGTATACCCAGGAAAGACAGAAACCTTCTGCTGACTACTCTACCAGTAAATGGACCATTTTCAAATTCAGCATCCACAACGATTATGCTTTACTCTCTCAGGTGACTGTCTTGAGTACTTCAGTGGAGTAGACACAAGTCTTCTTAGGGTGATTATCCTGCCTATGAAAAACAGCTATTTAAATTCCAGGCTGTATGGTCTCAAATTACTCTGGTACATTACTGTACCACAGTACTGGTACTGTATGTTTTCAGACAAGAGTTTTTCCAACTGATTTTCCATTTAGTTCAATACAAAATTTTCCAGGATATGGCAGTAAAAGTCCAGCTAGTGTGTAACTACACAAGCAGTCTGGGCCAAACTAAAGCAGAGAAAGATTTTATTTTTTTTCTGCCCACATATCTAGTGTGCTTCAGAGGTCCTCCAACCGCGTTTACTTCCTCCGAGCTTGATGAATTCAATCCTACTGGGAAGAGCAGAACATGAGGGAGAAGCATGTATCACTAACAGGAAAGCTGAAGAGGCTTAATTTCTTCTGAAAAAAAAACAGGACCCTTTCAAGATATCTACATCTCAGTATTCCCTGTCCTCAAAAAAATCATCAGTCACATTTGAAAACTGAGTAACTTGACATCACCCAGCAAGTAACCTATACAGTCTGACTAAAATATAGGCTTCCAATTCTCAGTGCAAAGATGGAGCACATGATGAAGCATAACAGCAGGATCTTTCTTACAGAATCTTTCTATACTCTCTTGTGGATAGATGCAGAAACGGCAAGCATAGGTTAACTTCAGCTCAACTCCCTCTTTTCCTTAAAGGAAGAAGATAATACCAGGCTGAAGCAAGCAGGCCAGTTTCTTTGTCTTGAAACAAATCAATCGCTACACTACCGATGTAGAATGCACAAATTCCTTAGGGCACAAGACAGGCCTTGAGTTCAGCTGTGACCATTCTATACTCTCAAGGTTTTTGGGTTTTTTTTTGTTTGTTTGTTTGTTTGTTTGTTTGTTTGTTTTAAGAAAAACGGGTGGTTGAAGTACCGTGTTTAACATCAGTTAACTTGCTGAATCATTGCTTAGGGCAAATCCTTTATGCAAACTAGCTACTCAATAATTCTGGCTTCCAACTTGGGATCTACAGAACAAACTATCTGCCTGATATTTCTTACACTTTATGGCAGAATTTCTGATGAAAATGCTGGCATGGGACAGTATTCAAATTGGACTTTTGCAACTACTCACAAGCATCACGAAAGAAACATTTCTCCCCTTGAGAACAGATTGCTCAAATATTATTCCAAAAGTAATTCTCCGTTGAAACAAACATGGCCAAGAAATCTGAAGAGTTGACTGCTTTTGCAGTACAAAATCAGCTTTATTACTTACCTACAGTACACCAGCCTGTTCTTTGCAACAGCTCTTTCACAAAGATCATATGGTATAATTTATTTTGCGACAAGTAACAAAAATAGGCAAAAAGTTTGCTTGTACCGAGCTCAGATCTGGAGTTACCAGCTATAAAATTTAGAAGTATAGCAAGTTCATAAGCAACATGATGAAATAATGCATGGATAGGATTCACTTCCTCTTCAGTGACCATCACAGAACCACAAATTCATGGCACGACACCCTGACACGACACTGGTAACCCTACCATCTAATGTTGCAATGTAAGAAATCAGAGTGTGGCTTTCCGGTATTTCAATAAAACTATCAAGCAAGTGTGGAGGTGGTGGAAAATACACAATCAAAACCAAGATTCTTTATGCTTTTCAAAACAGAAAATGAAAAAAGAAGTTTGAGAAAATAAGTTTTTTCAAGAGGTAGTTTGGTCTTGGTGACAACCATCACAGGAATAAGATTCCCAATATTTTAATTCCCATTAAGTAATGTTCTCTTTTTTTTTTTTTCAATTAAAAATGAAGAAAAAGAAAAGAAAACTCAGAAGGTATCAGGAAAACCAAACACATTTCCATATTCTCTTATCATCTTTAACTCACTTGTTCCTTTGGAAGAAAGAGGGACCACAGATGCGAACTAGCCATTCAGTTTCTCCTGTGATCTCTTTCATATGCCCCAGCACATGAATACTGGTCACGCTGCTGGCCAGTTAGAAGAACTGTCATTAAATCTAGTCACCTCATTTAACTGTCCTATGGTTTACAGCTGCTTTGTGGCTGAAAACAGATCACTGCTGACTAGGTTTTTAGTCAATGTAAGTTTAAGCAGAAGAGATGTGTTGAATCTCGTAAACTGTACAACTCAGTACAATTATTGGTAGAGACTCCTGTAAAAGAAACAAGATGTGGCAATTAAGCAAAGCAAACTTTTCTTGTTTAGATAATAATACTTACATCTCCTTCAAGGCTGAGCTTGCTTAAAATTTCATGGACAGTAGACATCTTGAAAGAATGCTGGAGGAAGAGAAAAAAAAATAAAACAAGTAGACATAAATATATTTACAATTACTTCAGCGTGTTATATAGTCCTGAAACACTGCAGCACTGAAAGTGACATAGTCCGATGAATCTGCTAACCCCAAGCAAGAAAGCAGATTTAAGAGTGTCCAAGCCACACCACCATTAATAATGCAACAGTGAGAGGTCTTCATTCTACTGTACAATAAAAATTTATCTTTACTCCTTAAAAAAAACATTTCTTCTGCATTTTAAATACTTAAACTTAGGAACTGGAGAATCTCTACCTTAGAAACAGAATCAACTAAGCCTACAACTCAGTACCAGGAAAACTGTGCCCAAACATTATAGCCTGGTCCAGCTCAAAGCCAAAAAGCAGCAACAAATAGTAGCGTTTAAATCAGACGCCAGTTCCTCAAGTACTCATGGAATACATTGAAACTATTTATATTCATGCAGACATTTTATAAAATCGTAATGCTGTTCAATCTTTAATCCTGGACAGAGGCCACAAATGCCTCTAATATCATATGGCTTTGTAGTGGCTCCCCAGTAATAAGAATCACAGGACAAGCTACAAACATCAATTAGTACCGTGATTGTCAGATACTAGGTAACAAGGACTCTCTTAAAATGATAGCTCCAAGAGCAAGAGCCATTGAGGCAAGATAATCGGTATCACTGCTCCACTGCCAGAACCGGAATAACATCTTGCTAACATATATAAAGGAAAATAGGGAAAAACCCAACCCTGAGGTAGATTATACACATTGCAGAAATGAACATTGAGGTGATATGCTTACAGTACAACACCCTGCCTTTTTTCAACTCTGGTTTCTAGTCAGGGAAGTTTGATAGAGCTGTATTCCTCTTTTACTGGAAGGGTCTTTCAACTAAGGAAGCAGTTTTTTCCAAAGGTTATAAGGCAGAGGCGATATTAAGAGGCTTGATGCATTCCCAAAACTCTGCTCTGAAATTCTTCTACTGAAAGGACAGACATTGCCACTCAGGTTACCTTCTAGTCATCCAGGTTGGCACCTGCAGCAAACATTATTTTGCCTGTTGAAATTAAAGTTTTTTTCTCAGAAACCCTACAACCAAGCTGTAGGGAGCATTATCAAACAGGGAAAAGAGTTGGTTTGATGAGAGGTAGGAGAGAAAGGACAGCAACGCGTCAAGACCAGTGACATTCCACTAACTGATAATGGAGCCTGGAACCAAAACTGCACTATCTTCAGCCTCACCGGGCGCCACTCCCTTCACTTCCAGGCTGTCATCGGTTCCCCCAGTCCAGCTCACAGATAGCACGCCCTCCGAGCCAACTCCCAGCTATTGTGCAGCAGTCCTGGGTATGTCCTTTCAGCTGGTTTTCAGATTCTTTTTTTATCCTCCATCAGTCACTCTTCTGATGGTACTGGGGCTTTCTCAGGCAAGCAGAACTAGCCACCTAAGCAAATTTCCCAGGCAAACCAAACTCCTCTCCACTCAATGATCAATCTGAACCCAGGAGTTCAGAGAACCAGCAAGAAGTTTGAAATAGTTTCTTAATACCAGAGATCTGGTTAAAATTCTAGAGCAAGTGTTTATTTTTTGTTTTAGCTCCTGTAAATCTCCCATACATCAAGAGAAAAGCAGAGAAATCCTTACTTCTAGCAGATATAGCAAGTGTTACGAGAATAAAATGCAGAAACACAATTATATGGCTTTTGTAGCGAAACTCCTGTAATCACACCTTTCCTTACTTAGAATACAGAAAGAAAACCTTTCATCTTCTGAAGCAACCTAGGTATAAGTAACAAAAGCAACTTTACCTCAAGGAAAAATTAAGATCCCAGGGGAGGAAAAATAAGACAGAGAATGAAAAACAGTCACGCATCAACTTATTTGAGCATAAATCTTTTTCAGAGCAAAAATCCAACCCAGCCCTTTAAAGACAGGCTGCAGAAGTTGTAATAAGCTGCTACCTGCTATTGGCACTATTGACCATGCTGGTTAGAAAGGGATGATATATTACCGAGTTATGAAATTCTTAATGTTTACTCTAAATAAAATGAAGTACCTAACAATGAGACCTTTGTACTCTGACAGTATTACAACCAATACCAAAGATGAGCAACTGAAGTCCTTTAGTCTTCCTTGTCACAAGGAACTGAAAAACACCAGTGAGAGCTGAAGCAAAGCAATTGCAGTATAATCTTTCACAAAACAATCACTGAACAGCTTTTTGCAAGACTCCTGTTTCTAAATCACTTAAAAAACCACATTGAATCAGGCTTGTTGGAACAAAAAACTTGAACAGAGTCCAGGAACAGAACTAACACACCCTCCCATAGAGCTGGAACTGGGAGGTTCATACCATCAGCACACAACAATGCTATAGCAACCGACCGCCCATCAGCAGCAAGCTGGCAAAAAAAAAAAAAAAGGGAGTTTTTGCAAGAATCTTTGCAGAGAAAGTTCTGTACTCAGAGAACAAATGCATCTCTTCCCACACTCTGCTTTGTAAGGCACAGACTCGCTGTTGAGAACAGACTCACTGTTCTCTGATGGACTGATTTTATCTGATGTAGTTTTGACAGGTTCTGGGTGGGTTTGAACATGTAAATAGAAAATACTTGCACTAACTTGTTCTTCCTTATACTGGAAAAGAATCAACTTTTACCTTTCAGCTGTAAACTAATACTTCAATACCTTAAGGCAAGTTTCTACGACCGGTTTTCCTCCTAAATCCACATTACGTAATCCTGAATCATAATGTTATCCTACTAAAAGAGATAGCATCTGTTTTGACCTCGACCCCCACAGTAATCAGGGGCTTGCAATTCTGTTACTGTATCGGGCCTAGTCTGTATGCAGTACCTTAGCCCCATAACTGTTTGGCGACAGAAGAGCGTTGTGTTTAAAAGCAGCCCCCTATCTCGACTCCCAGGGGCAGCTCACGTACATTGCAGCAGAAAACCCCCATGTGATCCATTGAAAAAAAGCGTCAGGTATGCACAAACAACTACATTGCTCAATAAGCAGAGTTAGCATTTTAAGAAGCACTTATTATACTCTTGTAGACAGAGATTGAGCAAAGGGTGTTCCCAGGCATCTGAGCCAAGGAAACGGCATCCCCGGAATGAGAGAATGGAAACTCTTTCACTTGGAGCACATTCGTGTCAGGTCTCCAAAAACTAGGGCAAGGCCTGCCAACAGAGGAGATGAGGGAAAGTGAGGAAGATCTGCCATATCTGCTGTAAATGAAATAAGGACTCAAAATCATTCATTTATATACAGTGCTAACCACAAGTGCAAACGAGCCAGGCTGTATCTCCTCAAATCACCCGATAAGGTTTAGCAGATCATTTAAAGCCACTACTTGGAGAAAAAAATAGCTTTAAAGAAAAGGATTTCAAAACCCATTAAACCACACTACCACAAATATACTTTAATTGTTCTCTTCCACAGCTACTGTTCCATTCCAGGAAGATACTATGCATATACAAAATTAAGGACTTTTATTTCTTCTAATTCAAGTTGTTCTCACTTCTGAGACTTTATAGGAAAACCTCTTTTTTTTTAATCAAGGCAAACCATTCCATACATTATCTAATAGAAACTATACATGATAGGGCTGCTTATCACAACTAGCTCTACCAACAGAAGGCACACACAGGGATGGATCACTCAAGGCCACAGAGATTCAAAAAGACTCTTTCACTCTTGACCTATATGTCGGGGTCTGCACGTCTCTGTGCAGATACAGCATTTGAATATGAACGTAAGAACAACTAACATTAAACAGAATTAAAGCTGCCGTGCATAAGAACCCAACTCACTTCTGCATGACTACCCTGAAATCATTTCCAGTTAAAACACATGGCAACATTCCTTCGCCCTACCTCCCCTCCTCACTGGAGGAGGAGGAAGTGGTGTCCAAGCTGACTCACAATCTAAAAGGCAGCAGCAAGACCTCAGTAATTCTGCTCATGGCCGGGGCAGGGTGGGAGAGCCGTGCCCAAGCCTGGCTCTGCGGGCCAGGAACCGCACAGGGCTCCCCGGCACGCCGCGGGTGAGAGCGAAGGCAAACCTCGGGTACGCACCGGCTACCCGGAACGCTCCCCGTACAAGGGCTTCTCTCCTGCCCATGCCAGCGGCTGCATCTGCAGCGGCG